GTGGGGGTGGATAATGCGATTTTCAAAGCACTAAGCGGGTGTGGGTGAGGATTGAGGCGTAGTTTTGACAAGGGCTCAGATCTGTTTCGAAAGGTGAGGGGGAAAATTTCGTGAACCCACACCCACCTCAGGCCCACCATGGTTTAGCCTGAGGTGCGAAAACTTTAGGAAATAGTAGTTCTAGATGATCGGAAATGACACTTTTATATAGTACAATTCACCATCATCACATCACCATTATATAGTCAAATTGCAGCTCAAATTTCTCGTGATGTTTTACCAGCATTTTCGGCAACCATAGATATCTAGTTAATATGTGTGATATACTATAGAAAATAAATATTAAAAATATTTATGTCGTTGATGTATTTGATTTAGACCTACTTACTTCAAAGCCATTAGTTCACACCATAATTAAGGGCTTAGGTGGAATATTTGGGGAAATAGTGCCTCTCTAAGATTACCGGAAATGACACTCTTATATAATAACATCATCATTATCATCGATCAAATTAATCGATGTGGTGTTCCATTGAAAATAAAACTCAATTGTCTTTGATGTATTTTTAATTTATTTTACCATGTGCCGAAAACCAATCTTATTATTACACGCTTTTTCTCATACTTCTCAAATTATAATAAAGGCACGCGCCCTCGGTATTAATAAGTAAATCGGATGTTTGTGGGCAGAGATAGAGTACTGGTTGTACAGCACACTGTTGGTCATTTATGCATTTATATTCAACAATGTTCAGGAATCTCCTTGACTTATGAACTTATTGCATTTCGGACGAAAAATGAGTGGACGAACCCCATCAATATCTGAGAACGTGCCCCCCCCCCCCCCCTCCGAGCATGGGTTTAGGGAGAGGCATCCCCTTCCATTTGAGATTTTTTTAGAATTAGTAGACGGCCAGACGCCATTGGATGACATCTGAAAAGAAGTTAAGCTTAAAATAAAAAGCGTATGTTTTACGAGAGTAGCCTACTACATGTAACATATATACATGAGAAGCACACACACAAGAGGAATGACCATGTTTTTTTTCGAGGTCACAGAAGGGAGCAGGTGGGGAGGGGTGGTTAGCCACCCTATTCACCCCACTCTAGGTCAGCCATTTAGGGTTCACGACGGGGAGAGTTTTATGGCTTAGTATGGTCCAAATGTACTTTTAGACCACAATATTAGGGATTGGCAATAAAAAAACAAAAACAAAAACAAAAAAATAACAAAACAAAAAAAAAGAAAAAAACATTAGGTCTATTGGATAGGTAAATTATTATTATTATTGTTTTAATCCGACGACGCAGTCGTGCGTCGGAAGGGTGGAGGGTCCAGGTCTGTCCGACCCGAAAACCCCCCACTGGTGCCGCCCCTGTAACCATTTTAGTTCTAAGTGGAGAGTGTCAAAGTAGTACATTAGAATGATGTCTTTATATGAACACATGAAATGCTGCGAGCAGCATCGCTCACTTACTCCGACGACATACATTGACAAAACTGAGGTGATGTTAATTGGCACACCTCAGCGGCTAAAAAATAAAGAAATTGACGTATCTTTTAGTGGCAAACGGATTAAAAAAGTCACAATGCACAAGTACCTTGGTGTTTATATTGACAATAAGCTTGACTGGCATTCACATGTCGGCAAACTTTGCTCCAAACTTGCACATAAAATTCACATTTTAGCCAGAATAAGAAAATTTATTGACTCTCGCACAGCACTCTTATTCTATAATACAATAATTCTCCCACATATTGACTACGGTGCCCTCTTGTGGGGTACAAGCAGCTTGCATAACACCGACAAAATTCAGAAATTACAAAATCGGGCCATGAGAATCATAATTAAAGCACCTCCACGCACTTCAACTAACACACTTCTATCCACACTCAACTTAATGTGTGTATCGCAAAGGGTGCGATATCAGGTCGGCTGCCTTACCTTTAAAGTTATCAACAACTTTGCTCCTAGTTACCTTGTGGAGAATTTTTCTAGAGTCCCTGCCCGAGCTATAAGAACGCCAGCTTCAACCAGAGGTGATTTAGCTTGTCCCAAAGTCAATTTGGAATGTTTTAAACGTGCATTTAGTTATCTTTAAAATTTACCAATTGAGCTCCGGGACTGCAAAATAGAAAATACATTTAAACTTAAGTTGAAACGATATATTTTAAACTCTTAGCCGTTGTTTATTGCTGTTTTATTGAGCTATTCTTATTATTAAATTGTTTGATTTTTTTTTCTATATTATACTATATTATATTACATTATATTATATTAGACATTATAAATTAAACTTCTATTTTGCATTTTCTTTATGTACGTCAATTTAATACTTTTAAGACTTGTTATGAGGATTGTATGTTATTATTATTATTATTATTATTATTATTATTATTATTATTATTATTATTGTTATTGTTATTATTAATATTATTATTATTATTATTATTATTATTATGTTGTAATGATGTTGTTTGTACTGTTCTTTGATTTTAATAAAGAGGGCCCCTAAATATCAGTTAATCTACGGGGCTAAACTGGAAGGGTTACCCTCTTTAAAGATGGTTGAAATAAAATTTTTTAAAAAAACATAACTTTTATCATTATATTATATTAATCAGTGCACATTATCACAATGGTACGTTATACTAGTATTTTTTCTAGCAATACATTCATTGAAATTAAAATTGTATTTCACAATTCAAGCAATTCATGTAATTTTGTATTTTCCAGATAAATAACACGGTAATCAAAAAGGATCAGAAAAATGAGATAAATGCAGAACGAGCACTGGATGATTTTGAAATAATGGCTTATCTAAAAAGATGTAAAATGAACGGTTTTCCTTATTTCAGTTTAAATATGATTGCCCACAGAGCCAACCAACGCTATAGCTGTATCCGATGGGATGCATTTATAACATACCGTACCTTTGGTGGCAGTGGTTTAGACTGCTTTTGTGCTAATGGTTTATTTAATGACTTGTTAATGTATAATGTTGTGTTTTTTTTATTTTCATTATATTTTGTATATCGTATATTTTGCCTGAATAAATAATTAATAATACTATACGTAGAATGATTATTTTTCGAAAATTACCGTATACATACGGTAATTATCTAAAAATATACATGTATATTTCTGTGCTTGGCAGATTTTGCAAAATCAGAATATGAAGAAACTCTTGATTTCGGAAACGATAAAGAGAAAACGGTTGCAAGAGGAGAGTGCATCAAGGCATCCTTTGAATCAAATTATAATTCAGATCATGTATGCTTCCAAGAAATGGAGGGACACCATAATAGGTGTTGTACTCTATTATTACTATCACGTACTTGGCCAGAAAACATTTTAAGGAGACTTTATCCCCCTGACGAAAAATTGAAAGATAAAATAAAAGGGAACTGTAATGTTAATGACAGCCATGGACCAGTCGAATTTACGTTCAAATTAAAGGGACTTATTAAAAAAGGTGCAGCTGCAGAAGGATACCTTAGATTTAAAGACGTAACTGATGACATTGAAGGACAATATGTATACTTATTGCAGATAAAACACGAGAAATTTTCGTCTGGTGCGTTACAAAAAATAAAACACACATTTTTTGGAAAAACGTGCATTCAACTCTCAAGTAAGTCAGCCTGAAGTAGGCAACCATACAGCCAGCACAACCAAAGTGAAATTTATGTAGTTAAACTAAACAATGCTTTATCATTTTACTTTGATGCTACATTCCCAATCAAAAAACAGTGTAACACAGTATAAGTCTATCCCTTTTTATATAGCGCGCTCTACCCACAACTAGGACTCAAGATTTCTTTCCTGCATAACTACTTCTGTCAATAATTATAATGCTTGAATAATTATATAGTGCCAATTTCAAATTATATGATAGATCAAAGGCGCTGAGTATTATTACCCATGGTCATTGGATAACATGCAATGGCAAACAAGCACAAAGTGCAACCTTCTCTGCTCCCTGGAGAGTATGCATAGCCGAGTGCTACAGTCTAGTCTTAGCGCACGAAACTAGTGCATTAAATGTTACAACATCCTACCAGGTACCCATTTATACTGGGTAGATAGAGACAAACGTAGGTAAAATGCCTTTCCCAAGGAAACAAGCGGCTTCTACAGTGGGTGTTTGAACCCCTGACGTCAAGGTAGGGAATCCACGTCACTGGAACGTATGCGGATATTCCATAGTATGAAAAATATCAAAATTCCATAGCATGAAATATATTAGAGCATTAGGCACTCGAACCTCCTCAGGTACCCACTTATACTTCTGGGTGGAGAGAAGCAATGCAGATATTGCCTTGACCAATTACACAAGTGACCTGCAGAGCAAAATTCCCGAGCCCCAAGACTTCCAAGTTTCAGAATTTGAGACACAACCATTACGCCAACCGCTTCCATGTATATAAGCCGTATATAACCTTATTTATAAATATTATATTATTTCTTTTATTTAGATCCCGTTTACAGGAGCAACGTCGACAAGAAACAGTTCATCAGGTGAGAGTGTGGTTTGATTAGCTGTACTGGTGTATTGCTATCCATTAGGCCAAATTAAACAAAAAATGCCTATAAAAAAATATAAACAAAAAAAAACAAAAAAAAAAACAAAAAAACGCCGCAACATCTTTACCTTATTCAATTTTGTTTATAAAACTAATTCTAAATTTATAATATGTGTGAATTTTGTTATGACATGGCACATAATTTACCGTATTGCCTCAATTCTTCCATTTGGATTTTTTTCATTATAATACTTTGATTAATGTTAATGATGATGATAATAATAATAATAATAATAATAATAATAATAATAATAATAATAATATTATTATTATTATATTATTATTATTATTATTATTATTATTATTATTATTATTATTATTATTATTATTTTATTTATTTGTATTCATCCCCCTCCCCCATTTGCTTGGCTAATCCCTTCTACTACTGCCGCCAGTGTGTGGCTATATTTCCTACAGTTTCTTAATGACTGTTTCCTCTTGATTGACAGCCTAAAGGTGCGGCGTGAAAAAATTACTTGTTTAGCGTCACATCTCAACCAATTTTAGAAGGGCAATGTCGTTTTTCTTTTTCTGTTTACAATCAATCTACCATATCTATAATCGACGCGTCTCCGTTTAAATAAGATGCCTAGCAGGCCATGCCAAAACTTGGATTCCATAGGCTACAAGCTCACACATACCAAGCATGATCCTATATTACAATTGCATTCTAAACAACAAGAGTTTTAAAATTGTTAACAGGCCTACAATAAATTACACATGGTTAGTTTATATAACGCATAATGTATAGACAACTTTTACTATTGGAAGTAAAATAAACTATGTGCGAATTGTCTTTATGATTTAGTTCTAGTAACACCTTTATTTTTTACTTAATGTATTATTAATTTGTAATAAATTAAATAATAATTAACTTAAAAATGAATCATTTTATTTATGTATTCGTGTGCCTTTTGGTATTTAGTTATAGTTTTACAATAAGTTAGAAAAATAATTAATTCAATTGCATAAATGATTATAGGCCTAATTGTCTTCTTTTACCCTTGTTATTTGTTTTATTTTTATTATTTTTGTGTTCGATTCTTGAGGCTTTTTTTCTATATTTTTTCTGTTTTGTGTAAGTATTTTATATTCTTGTAAAAATTTTTATTCCAACTCCTTGAAAATAGTCTTTGATGATTCACTAATTCATGATTATTATTATTATTATTATTATTATTATTATTATCATTATCATTATTATTATTTTCAGTCCAATTGGAATTGTCCTCAGTGATCAAGTGTATGCATTTGCGCTAAAAATGGAAAAAGAAAAAAAAGAAGAACAAAGAGAAGATAAAACAATTTTACGCTATATTACGTGTGCAGGAAAACTTCATTCTAAAGACAACAACATTACTATTAGATGGAATGATTTTTCCAAAGTTTTACTGAAACCAGAGTAAGATGTAATATACATTTATTCGGTATATCTTGCAAAAAGCTATAGAAGGCCATCATTTCAAGGTCATGTGTAGTTATATTTTGTTGTGTTTATAACCTGACCAAATAATTTTCCGGGAATGGGGAGACGAACAGCAATTGAGTTCTTTTAGTCTGAGAATTAAGGGTTGTGGGGATTTATTACCTATTTGGGACCAGAGGGATATATGTTTTGTTGAATGTTTTCATACGTGGTTGAGGTATTTGGTTGCTGCCGAGGGGGCGAGCTAACACCGGCTTCGCCAATGATTATTGAATTAGAATTTATCAATGTTATAGAACGTAATAACTACATTGAAATTGTTTACATCAGGGGTAGATCTAGCCCGTTAGGAAAGAAGGGGCGTGAATGTGCGAATTGAATAGCCTTATGGAAGAGCACCTGGTAGGGGTGGGAAGGGTAAATTTGTATTTGATTGATTTTTAACATTTAGCATGGTGATTTTCTGATAAGCTTTCACAAAAATTACTCTAAATCCCCCACTGATCTTTCAGAGAAGAGTTGTTGAGCTTGGTTGCACTACCAGGTCGGTATCATTCGTATATCTTCCTTGGATTTATAAATGTATCTAAAGACAGACGATTGCTAGGGAAGGTGTTTTCTTTCCTGCCAGACGGAAGCTTTAATTTAATCAACAACTTCGTTGAGACATTGGAATCTAAGGGACCTGTTGAGATTTTAAAATTTGGTGAGTTGTTAGCATAAGAAAATGAAGTTTAGATAATGATAACACAAAAACAAATTTTAGTAAAAATAATAATGATCCTCAGATCACTTTGAATAGATAGGCTTATCGTTTGTGTACAGTTTTCTCACCTATCCATGAATGGACCTCACACTCACCTTTTTTTGCAGAAAATTTGCTAATATAACAACAGGACATTTTAGTAAACATTTGGCCTAGGCCTAATGAGATTGTTGCGATGGGGGGTGATAATGATGATGTTGGTGGCCCTGATGATATTGGTGGTGCTCGTGGTGTAACTTCACAATTCGTTAGGGCTGATGGGGGACGAACATATAAGTGATGGTGTCAGATAATTAGATGAGGAACCTAGCTGACAAAATAGTGCGATATGTGGTGATTTTTTTTGCTCATCCAAATTTCAGCGGTGAGGGCGGGGTGGCCGGGGGAAGGGCTACGGCCAATTGCTGTTTAAGAGGCGTGTACCCCTAGTTCACCAATGCACTCATAAATACGCCACTGCTGATGTGTAGGCCTAATGTTGTTACTAATCAGATCAATTATCATCGAAAAGGTAGACGTAGGCATTTGAATAGAAAGGGAGTAATTTTTTACAGTTTATTGACATGCCCCAAGTTAGTACAAACAATATAATTGTTTCACAGTTATTTTTTTTTTAATGATACAGATCACGATAGTTATTTGAGTAAAGTTTAAGCCTACCAGCTGCTGGTGCTGATGACTATGATGAAGGGATTGCTGAGGATGATGAGAATGAGTAGCGAATAATTGTTTTCTTTAATTTATATTTCTCATTTCTCATTTCACTGTCATCTATAGATCCTCATAGCGGCAAAAAGCTATCAAATGGACGAATTATTGTCGGTGGCTGGATAAAGCGTGGCAAGTATAATTTTGACAAGCATATTAATTCGTATAGTAGTGTCTTCAGCCTTAGCTAAAGATATGCATTATTCGATGGTCAGGCTATATTAAAAGCTTACAAAATAAAATGATGAAAAGTTTTACATCAATTGTAGGTTTTCAGATTTGATCCCCAGTTAATCATTCACCGCATATTATGCTACACGAATACAAATATTAAATAAAGACGGATATAATTTTAAAAATCTACGGTACCATTTAAATCTACTCGCAAGACATTTGGTAATGTTTTGGAGCAAACTGTGGAACCCCTTTGACAATACATCACTATGCTCTTTTAAAAGGACTTACGGTATCAATTTCCGTTTCATTGATTTGATCCTAACCACCAAAATGAAAAATAACTTAATAAATAAATGTTGGTGTGACACGAGTAATGAAAAGAAAGCTTTAACGTATCTGTATTTGTGGTCATTTTCGTAATGTGCGACAATAGTATATAGAAATAATATACTTTTCCACTACTGCGAATTGAATACCAAGGACTGCTACCTAACTGTATACTATTGATAACTTTTGTTATTAAATACATAAATAAACAAGTACAAGAACGTTTAAGCCAATAAAACTGAATTATCATAACAATTACACTGGTACATGTTAATTATACAAATTCTATTTAATCCATTTTAGAAGTTTGTCTATTGTACCCCTATACCTCTTGTACATAATACATTGAAATGTTGCCTAATAACTAGACGTGACTGTTATTACGTACCAGTATAAACGTGTTTTTAATTCAAAACGCAGTATATTTTTTGTAATCATGTGACTGTACGTATTTCAAATAAAGGATATCAGAAGGGAAAAAGAATGGATGAATTAAAGTTTACTGGCTCTACGTCTTCTAGCGGTAAACTCGACGATGTTGAAAACCAGGCACATGGTAAGCAAACAAAGTTTATAAGTTATAGGTCTGTTTTATTAATTAATCATACAAATCCATTAATATTAGCTTTTACGTACACATTATAAACAAACATACACACGTAAATAAATCATATCTACATATCCAATAAATACATACATAATTATGCCGATTTACAGACATATATATATTAAATTACAATACATATTGTACATTTCAGTTTATATTTCACATGTAGCTGCTGTGACGTCACCGATGCTTGTCTAAAATGTGAATATGTTCCTATTGCTTGAAATAGAAAACAACATCAAAAGTAATGGGCGGGGCAGTGCAGCGCATGATCAATAACCTTTTACCGTCATTCGACCATTCCCTTACTATTTCGAATGTTGTATTGATGTAGGCCTATATGTGTAATATATAAGGACGAAAAACTCACTACCTCTCTCACCAAAATCAAGTTTACTAACTCGTCCTCTATGTCTGATATCGTATAATCAGTAAGTAAATTTCCCCCCTTTCGATACCCATTTTATTTGTTCCTATTTCGTGGTCAGAATTATTTTATTACGTTTAATATTTTTTTTAAATACGGTACTTCCCAACTTGTTGCCATAGAATTTAAAATATTTAACAAATTTGTGTTTTTCCCTTTTCGTTTGCTAAGGATATGAACCGTTTATCATGTGGACAGATGACGAAATTCATTGGAATTTAGGAGAAAATCTGAAGATTGAAGAAGCTGAGAAAAATATGCGGATACAGGTATCTACCACTACATACAGTGTTACTATTTTACTATTACTAAAGAAATTCTTACAACTTACTACTAGGTACTACTGTTATTTCTATGATTGTGACCGACTATCATATACTAATTTGAGTAAGGACAGAATTTCACTGTCCAGACGCGTGTACAGCTCTAGAAGAAATATATTGTAGAACCATTCTTTTTAATTATTGGCATATTTTGAGTTCCTATTTATATCCATTCAAATATCATAAAAAATACTTTTTTTGACTCTACAAAGATAACACATTATGAGAATTCATTATTCAAATTACGTTAGTACTATACAGGGAAAGGACCAGCGGAGTACGGTATTCAGTATGTAGGATGATAAAGTAGAACGTAACACTTCAGTGAGTGCGGTTGATACAAACGCGTATAAACGCGTATATACCCTTTACCAGTTGGCCTATCTTACTTGCTTTAACATATCATAAACAAAATTATTATTGGCTCGTTCTTTATTCAAAAGGTAATTTGATTTTTCATTTGCAAAAGGTCTTTCTAAAATTAGCAGACGTAGTAGTATTCAATATTATGCTTGAAAATATTTTGTTTTATACGGCAATATTTGCAGCATTTGGCTGACTTGGCTTCACAGAATGTTTATTTAATTGATACTCTTGAGTGGATCCATAGGGGTGATGGTCGTCAACGTCCAGACAGCTCTTCCCCCCCCCCCCACCACCCTTAACATGTTAGAGTGCGTTATAGCTAGAAAAACGGTGTACAGATGTTGGGTAAATAGTCAGAATTTTTTTGTGGGGGGGGGGGGGGGG